TACAGAATGTATCAGGGTATAAACAGTGGGTATGTATACAGAACGTGTCAGGCTATAAACAGTGGGTATGTATACAGAATGTATCAGGGTATAAACAGTGGGTATGTATACAAAACGTGTCAGGCTATAAACAGTGGATATGTATACAGAATGTATCAGGGTATAAACAGTGGATATGTATACAGAACGTATCAGGGTATAAACAATGGGTATGTATACAAAACGTGTCAGGCTATAAACAGTGGATATGTATACAGAATGTATCAGGGTATAAACAGTGGGTATGTATACAGAACGTATCAGGGTATAAACAGTGGGCATGTATACAGAATGTATCAGGGTATAAACAGTGGGCATGTATACAGAATGTATCAGGGTATAAACAGTGGGTATGTATACAGAACGTATCAGGGTATAAACAGTGGGTATGTATACAGAACGGATCAGGCTATAAACAGTGGGTATGTATACATGAACGTGTCAGGGTATAAACAGTGGGTATGTATACAGAACGTATCAGGGTATAAACAGTGGATATGTATACCGAATGTATCAGGGTATAAACAGTGGGTATGTATACAGAACGGATCAGGCTATAAACAGTGGGTATGTATACAGAACGTGTCAGGCTATAAACAGTGGGTATGTATACAGAACGTGTCAGGGTATAAACAGTGGGTATGTATACAGAACGTATCAGGGTATAAACAGTGGATATGTATACAGAACGTGTCAGGCTATAAACAGTGGGAATGTATACAGAACGTGGCAAGAATCTCAAATATCAAAGGTTTACTAATACAAGACATATTCGACAATATTAGTTCTTATATTGTAATTTTGCTGACGCTGGAGTAAAATGGGTTAAAGAGTTACTTGTTTTGAAATCTGGAATACTTTGTGATGATTGCATTTTGAAATATGAAACCACGGAGACTGACAGATTTTGAAAAGAAAAATTAACTAAGACTGAAAACAAAGAAAAAAAAGATGGTTAAGACTGAATGAAAAATATAGTGCTGAAGATAAGTGTAAAAGTTACATCCTAATGATGAATGCACACTGCAAAAAACTATAATAAATAATTATTATTTCTTTATAACTGGACATTTTGACCCGTATAGTAATAGTATACGGCAAGAAGACACGCACTTAATTAATTTTAATAACAAACTATCAGCTTATACTGTTAAATGATGAGATAAATTTAAATGGCTAAATGATAATAAAATAAATTTCTTAATATGGGGATTAACCAGCTTTGAATATATTAAGATCAGTTTACAACCAGAAAATGGGCTAGTTTTTCCAATAATCACTGTTCATACAATACTTATCAGTGTATAAACCACATAAAATCAGGAGAAAAGTATTGCATTTCAGACAGGAAAAAAATATGTATAATTATTCAAGTCATAAAACATTCCCTGATACAGCGATACATTTTATAGCGATTAATACTTGAAAACAGTACTGGTTTCCATATATTTTTGAATAAAGCTTCTTAATATAATGCTAACACTTCAAAACAACTTTATGTTGTTTTTGTTGTTGTTATTTTGTATGCTTGCGCTTATCCGCTGCGATAGCGATAACACTGGACGATAGGGGGCGTCGTCGTTTTCTCTGATTGTTTGGTTGGTTGGAATTAAGCACAAAGCTACACAATGAGCTATCTGTGCTCTGCCCACCACGGGTATCGAAACCCGGTTTTTAGCGTTGTTAGTCCGCAGACATAGCGCTGTGCCACTGGGGGGCGTTTTTTTTCTTTGAGTATTGTAATGTATTGTCTGTCTGTTTATTTGTTTGCTTGTTTGAAGTTGAGCACACAGCTACACAATGGGATATCTGGGCTCTGTCCACCACGAGTATTGAAACCTGGTTTCTAGCATTGTAAGTCCGCAGACAAAATACCGCTATGCCACTGGGGGAGGGGGGCAGAGTCAATTGCAGAAAACTATGGTAAACACTGAAATCTGACGACAAATCTAACAACAACAAAAAAAGAGAGTCGGAACGGGATAAGATATGGTTGGTCTATAAACCCTAAATTCACATTTTTTAGTTAGGTCTTACAAATATGAGATTTCATTGCTAACCATTCCTTGTTTTCCTTTAGACAGTCGCCCCCAATGGCACAGTGGTACGTCTGCGGACTTACAATGCTAGAAAACGGGTTTCGATACCCATGGTGGGCAGATCACAGCTAGCCTATTGTGTAGCTTTGTGCTTATCTTCAAACAAACAAACTTTCGATTTGTTTGTTTTAGAGCAAAGCCACATTTGGCCATCTACTGTGCCCACCGCGGGGAATCGAACCCCGTATCTTTGCGTTGTAACTCCGTAAACTTGCTGCTGAACCACCTTTCGAAGTCCCAGATATCATTGGTATCCATTCGTTAGTTACTCAGTTAAAAAGGTTTTAGAACCCCCAAAGCTTTACTATCTTAAGTAATTTTCCCCAAATTACCGCCTTTAGAATGTTAATACAATTCAGATATACATCACGTTTTGTTGTAACTCAAAGCTTGTTTTATCAGATCTTTCGCTTCTACCGAGTTAATCTGGCACACACAATAAAGCTACAACAGAGGTACACCTAGTAAACGATAATGATCTCAAGTTTAGTGGAACCAAAAAACGACTTTTATTAGGGTCACGATGCATCCTTGTAATACCGGCGAAAGCGCGTGCTGTGATCTGTATCTGTTACGTTTAATAAATTAAAGTTTTAAGAACAAAAACCGTAAGTAAAACACTTTTTTTTCTGACGTTTTTTTTTTTTTCATTTCATATTTTTTATGCCTATCTTCGTTCACTTCCACTGTAGAGCAAGTATAAATTTTCCTCGTCCTCTGTTTAAATAAGTGAAAGCCGTTATAATTTTAAGGGATAAATATTGGTGGTTAATTCTCGCAAGAACAGAAGTTTTAAAATTAAACGTAATTCATCTATAATATCGAAGAATATTAGCAACCTTTTTTCTATTTACGCGGCCCAGCATGGCCAGGTGGTTAGAGCGCTCGACTCGCAATCTGAGGGTCGCGGGTTCGAATCCCCGTCACACCAAACATGCTCGCCCTTTCAGCTGTGTGGGCATTATAATGTGACGGTCAGTCCTACTATTCGTTGGTAAAAGAGTAGCCCAAGAGTTGGCGGTGGGTGGTGATGAATAGCTACCTTCCCTCTAGTCTTACACTGCTAACTTAGGGACGGCTAGCGCAGATAACCCTCGTGTAGCTTTGCGCGAAATTCAAAACACACACACAATCTGGGAGACATTATGTACAAATTATTCAAGAAATTATCCTAACCTCATAAATTATTGGAAATACGTGATTATTATCTTTCTAAATAAAAAAAATAACAATACTGTTTGCAAAAATAAAAAAGGATGTTAAATAATGTTCAAGCAAAATGTTTTCATCTATTTTCAGAGGTTAATTATTTGTATTATTAAAAACTTACAAGTAGTACTCATACATTAAAGTTTCAGGAACAAAAGGCATAACTTGATGGGATTAACTACACAGAAAGGCATTTTATCCATGGCGTTGAACATAGCCTAGTGATTAGCATTGTAGGCCTTTGAATCCGAGGGTTCATGTTCGCGGCCCGTTGACGGGCACTTTTCTCTTTTGGGTTGTGGGTACGCTGTAAGAGTGCTGATAAAATCCCAATACTTGGTCATTCAAGAGTAGCCCAAAATTTGGCGGTTGGTGTTGTTGACCTTCCCTTTTGTCTAAAAGTTAAAGACGGCTATGCGAGGATAGCCCTATGTATATCTTTGGGCGAAAATTCTGAAACAAGCAAGCAAGTTTTTATCCATGACTTTAAATAATTAAAAGTATAATATTTGAGTTATCCTGAATTGCGCTTTTTTTAAGGGCTGAACATTGAAAATGCTTTTCAGAAAACTTCTGAATTACTGAAAAGTGAGCACGGTGAAACTCAAGCAAAATATAGTTACTGATTTAAACTTCAATATTTGCAAAAACCAAATTTCTGGTGAGTGATTACTAATATAGTTAATTCATCTGTGCATACCAACTTTTTGACACCAAGTCAAAATGTATCCCGTTAACAAAGCATCTTCGTTGGAAACTGAGTACCAAATAGACAAAAAGAGAGAAAGAAATATTTTTGTTTAAAATTTCATGTTTAACAACCTTTTTACTCTGAAAGAAAAAGTTCATAGAATAAATTAATTACCACTCTTACAAGAAGCATTTATTTCTTAACCTAAACGACAACTTATCCAAACAATGGTCATGAACTCCTGTGGTTCAGTCATAGCTTGGTTTGAATTTTTCGCGAAGATACACGAGGGCTATCTACGCTAACCGTCCCTAATTTAGCAGTGAAAGACGAAAGGGAAGGCAACTAGTCATCACCATCCACCACCAAGTCTTGGGCTACTCTTTTACTAACAAATAGTGGGATTGACCGTCACATTATGACGCGAAAGGGCGAACATGTTTGGTGGGACGGGGATTCGAACCCGCAGTCCTCAGACTGCGAGTCAAGCGTCCTATCCACCTGGCCATGCCGGGCCCAGTCAGAGCTGTCCTTAATTTTGAAATTCGAACAAGTTGGTTGCAGCCATCCGAAATAGTTGGTCTTAACCAACTATCGGGAACGAGTGTAATCCTTATAACGCATCAACAGTACGAAGCTTGCTTGGTAGCACCACGTCTCAAACCCCTAAGACCCTCGGATCCTCAGTCTGATATATATTCTAACCACTATATACAGGCATGCATGGGTTCTAAAAGAAGTCTCAGCAACGCTCTTAGTATTTGTGTTTCTCGTTTTTTTTTTAGATAGTAACTTTAGTTGGTTCCATAGCTCATTCCTTTTTAACATAAACTATTACATATAATGTATAAGCAGTAAAATAACGTTGCTTCTGAAAAAAAAAATAGTTATATGGATATGATAATTAATAGCACAAGTTAATAAAACAAGATATTAACTATACAAAATCCAAGGTTACTCACACTCCGAGTTCATTTCCATTCCAACAATTCGCTTCTCTTTGCACTGCTAAGGTTTCGTCGCTACATATATTGTCCGCTAAATTAGCATAAAACCCTTTGGATTCCGTCAGTTTCTTCACGAAATTTTGGAGTTGTGAATGCCAGGTAGAAACCACAGATCGTGAGGTTATGATTCGTCCGTTCGTTTCTTGTTCAGAGTCCGTTACTTCTGACGAAGATCTCGTTGACCGTTTTGGATGGCCACAAGCATTCTTAACCTAAAATAAAAAACAAATACTAGTAACGATTACAGAATACAAAAATAGTTCTAAAGTACATGAGATTTTCATTGAGTAACAAGTTCGAACCTCACTCTTAATTAATAGAAAATACATAAAGTAACATTTTACGTTTAAACCTGTTTTTCCTAAAATAATATTTTTGTTGTTTGTTGATACTACCTCCACACACACATATCAAATTACCTTTTTATCTGACGCAAAAATTTATTTGTAATGAAATTTGATGAGATACATTTTTCTAGCAGAAATGTTTTCGAAAGTTTAGAAATATATAGTTTCAGTAATAATCTAAAACTAACTTAATGAACTTTTATACACACAAAAAAGTAATACAAAGATGGCAATACCCACTAAACATCTCACTGTGACTCAATAACCCTTTGATCATTAACAGGGGTACATTGTATACTCACAGTTTTGTATTAGATTACACTTTCTTATTGACAAGAACGCATTTTCATTCATCATCTAAAAGTTATTAATTATAAATTAATCAGTAGGTTATTTTTTACATACCACAAACTATTACTTAAAATGACCACTAGTGGCATATATAAATCATGTTGACCATATAGTCTTGGTAATACGAGAATTTAATATTTTTATTATTATTTGACACATTAAACATATTAATGATGTTTGAAAAACTATTTAGATAATTTCTCTGGTGGTAAAACACAAGATGATAAGGTGATACAGGCTATCAAGTTTAGTGTCTAACATGTTTTGCTCTTCTTAAAGGTGGTTTATTCACCAGAAAACGTCTTAGAGAAGCTTTAAAAGCCACTTTACTCTTCTGGCTGCTAATACAACACTTACTATCTCTTTTTGTTTTGTACAGTGAGTTTTTGTTTTTACTTTCAAATTAGTCACTTACTTACCTTATTTTTTTACACTGGTAATAGTCTTTGATTTTCTTACTAAAAGTTAAGTTTATTAAAGAAAATCATAAAAGTGGATAATAAACTTTATTCAGGTTCCCTATATGTTTTAGTTTGCCAATAGAAAACTTATTATGTTATTGTGTACACACATCACAGATATATTACTTAGTTAAGGCAGAGGGATACATACAACATATTGGCCATATACGTCTGCTTCGTATCTTGGTAAAGGAATGTTAAGGGCAGAATTACCAACTTTACACTGCTTTTCTTAAATTCATAACACAATAAGTGTATGGACAGTAAAAGAAATAAATGGAAAAAAAAGCGTGTAATCAAAGTTGTTCGCCATTACTAGTGAGCAGTGATATGTTACTCTGTAAGGAGTGGTTAGTTGTTCAATTGCACTAGATATGACTTCTGACTAATTTGTAACCCAGTGAGTTACAGCTGAACAGTTCAGTAACAGGAGATACAAGTAAAGCGTTTGATGTTACAGGAGCAATTATGTGTTCATCTGACCTCACAATTTAGGTACAGTGGTGGACTGCTATATGTTCATCTAACCTCTCAGATGTGGTATAGTGGTGGACTGCCATATGGTCATCTGACCTCGTAACTGTAGTATGGTGGTGGACTGCCATATGGTCATCTGACCTCGCAACTGTGGTATGGTGGTGGCCAGCTATAAGTTCATCTGACCTCTCATATGTGGAATAGTGGTAGACTGCCATATGGTCATCTGATCTCGCAACTGTAGTATGGTGGTGGACTGCTATACGTTCATCTTACCTCACAACTAAGATATGGTGGTGGACAGCCATATGTTCATCTGGCCTTGCAACTATAGTGGTAAACTGTTATGTGTTACTCTGAGCTCACACTTGTGGTGCAGTGATGGAATGCTGTATATTCCTCTGACCTGACAGCTCTAGTGCATTGATGAACTGCTATATGCTCTTCTAACCTCACAGTTGTGATGGGCTGCCATACGTTCTTCTGACTTCACAGCTGTGATGCAGGGGTGAACTGCTCCCCTTTTCAGCTTCTTGATTTATATTGGAAAGGGACAAAAATGTTAGAGATAAGTAACCCTTAACTCCGATGTGATATTTGCTATAACATTATCAAAAGCTGAACGCAGTGTCCTTTGAACAACGAAGAAACTGATAGCAGCGACATTGTGGTGTTCTCAAGTTCATTGACTTTCCTTAATAACTACAGAATAACGGAAGGGTTGCCAGTAAGTGCATTGTGAAGCAGAAATCTGGATGATTTTAGTTTCAATTGCATTTGAAGTGAATAAAGATACTGGACACAAGTTGAACACAGTGAAACAATATTTACTTCAAAACCAATTGTATAATGTGCAACATTTACTGGAGAAAGATCTATAATCTTAAGTTGTTACATTAGTGTAAAGTTTTGTATTCTGAGTTTACCTAGCTAAGGTGTTAAAGACTGAGAAAACGTGATATTATATACTATGAACAACAATGACATTCTTCTCAGGGCGCAAGCACTACCCAAGTAACTGGAGGTCGTACTCACTACAAAATAAGGAAAAGATAATTGTATATTTGTATGCAATATGTTCCACTTTAGAAAAATCTTTCCCATGAGAATGTACATGTGACACCCTAATTAAATATCTCAGTTCAGTAGGTAACAAGGGATAGGATTAGTTGTTCCCTTGACCAACATTACATATTAAGACCATGTACTCAATAAAGTTTATATTAAATAAGGAAACAAGAAGCACATGATATGTCTAAATACTACAATGTCTTTAATAGATCTTTAAAGCAAACAATAGTGATACCATTTTAAAACCGTATTAATGATTAAGTTTTGTGTTTGTATAAGAGTGCACTGTAAACATGATAACACTAATGGGAAACGGAGGACGCCAGGTGGCTACTTATCCTATTGTCGACTCATTATAATTTCTATACTGAAATCATTTCAAAAAGGCATATTTGGTATGTAAGCTTTTGGTAAATACGAAAGAAGCAAAATTGGCCAGTTTAACGAATAAGCATCTTTTTTTCGGATTGTGTCATTCTTTTTTATATCTCCAATGTTCTAATATGCAATATAGAGGAAATTCAAGTTATCGTAACAGATACAACGTAGAGCTGATGCTAAACCATTAGATAATGCTACCTGTTAAAGAAAATAATAAGTTCTTAAAACTAGGAGTTTCTAACAACTGCGTATGAGTAAACAATTATTGTTCACAAATTACTGAAATCAAAAATATATCACTCTGTTTACTAACAATTCCCAGTGCTGAGAACAGATGGTCATTAAGCATGAGTAACTGAGAAACGAACACGAAAAACGAGGCTTAAGAATAATAATATACATGATCACGCTGAAGTCATTCACAATAAACTCTCAAAAGTAACTCAACAATACTATGACTACAAAAATGTTAAACATCTGTTTTCGTTCAGTGACATTTATTGTAACATCATAATACCATTATAATATGACAAAATGGCAAATGTAATATACTTTATCTAAAGATTTACCTGTAGAATACATGCAAAGGTTACACATCAAATAAAAGAAAGGAAAAATATCTATCAGAGATAATCTCTATAAATCTGATAGTAGTGAAAGCACATCATCTGAGTGACAACAAACCGTTTAGAGGAAACATATTTATAATACAGACAATGACACTAAAATTGAAAAAGTGTTGGGAGCAAATAGTGAGATGTAAATGTATATATATATATATATAAGATTATAGGCTATTAAAAATCACTAACCATTCTTATGATATATATTTACAAACACGGCCAACAATTTTAAAACTGGTCGAATAATGGAAATTAATCATCTAGTGTCAGAAGAAAGTAAATTAAAACAGTTATCATAGAATGACTTTGGTTGACTTTATTATTGGTTTCATTAGGATTTTATATAAAACCAACTAGCTCACCTAGTTAGATAAGGCATTAATTACAAGTTTAATTAAAACATTAAATATTAATGAACCATGACTTGCCAGAAACCAGTGAAGCATCTGAAACTTGTTTAAATTGGAACATGAAAAAATAAGTGAACTTGACAGTTCTAGTTGTTTTATTTCTTTACTTTTTGCTTGTTTCAGAATGCCGCACAAAGCAACATAACGACTATTTGCCCATATATGTTCCTAACTTTAAAAAGATGGAAGGAACTAGGCAACAGCTCATGGGTTACTCTTGTCTGACCGAATAGCGAGATTTGACCGTCACTTTCTTATGGCAAACACAGTCCCAATGTGCGGAGCACTATTTTGTGGCAAAGGATCACGAACCATGAATCATCGGACTGATAGTCCTGGCGTGCTGACCCCTAAGTCACGCTCGACCCAACCCTAGTTGAAGCCCAGAAATTAATATAATCGGTTTATATTGCGTAACTTGGACAAATTCGAAGGAATCAGATTTGTCCCAGTTCTGTAGGGTTAACGTGCCTAACTGTGGATCCGAGATTCCATGGTTCGCGCCCTGTTATCGCCAAAAAAATAGTGCTCCAAACTTTGGTGCTGTTATGCGTTATAAGGGTAACGTTCAAATTCCATTAATCGAGTAGTTGCCCTTGAGTTGACGGTGGATGATATTGACTAGTTGTCTTCCCTCTATTTCTATTAGCTCAAAATTGGAGACAGTTAGCGCAGATAGCCTTTCAGTTACTTCGCGTGAAATCTACAGGCAACAACATCAGGTGAAATGATACACTTTATAAAAATGACGAATAACGATTATATAAGAAAGTAACTTTAGGCTAGCGGAGTCAACGTCAGGTCAAACTGATCTAGCTTAACGCCATAACTACTCTTACTTCAACTACAAAAGATGAATCAATGGCTCGAGATCACGAGAATTTGGTTCAACCTCATAGGATCCCATTACGTAGCATGTCAACATACAAGTATATCGTCTATTGTAGGTATTGAGATCCACGCCCAATATGCATGGACTAATGTCAATATTACATTATGATGCTTGCTTAACACTCACTCCTTATCGAATTATTCACGACATACGTGTTCGTAATGTAATGGGAACAAAACATAGACATACCGAGTATCCG